TCACCCAATTCCTTGCCGCACCTCTCACCCAATTCCTTGCCGCACCTCACCCAATTCCTTGCCGCACATCTCACCCAATTCCTTGCCGCACATCTCACCCAATTCCTTGCCGCACCTCTCACCCAATTCCTTGCCGCACCTCTCACCCAATTCCTTGCCGCACCTCTCACCCCATTTCCTTGCCGCACCTCTCACCCCATTTCCTTGCCGCACCCGACTCTCTCTCCCTCCTCAGCTCAGCTCCGTCCCTTATGCACCGGCTGTTGAGAGAGTCAGTTTAACCGTTCCAGATCCCACCTAGCGGAGAACAAGGACAACATCCCACTAGACGTCGACCACCTGAGCACCACTTTCGTGGCGTTCGATTCATTGTCTACGTGGGGACCATATCCCACGGCACGGCGGCGACGACAAGGAAGAGGAGGGCGGGCACATCGGGGAAAGGATGGAAGGGAGAACAAAGAGGAAAACATGTGGCGGCTCCGAAATTTGGCGGGAAATGGAAAGTCAGGATAGGGTATGGAGGCAGGGAAGAAGAGCACCACCTGTCTCTTATACACATCTAGATGTGTATAAGAGACAGCGGGGGGGCAAGAGGAGGGGCACGAAGAACAGTGCGAACGAGACGAGCGACAAGAACGGGTGAAAGGAGCACGGAACCGAGAGGCACGCGGGAGGAGAAGGTGAGGGAGAGGAGTAGGCGACTGATGGAAGAAGCGGAGACGTAAGAGAGGGAGAAAAACGGGAGGTTGGCAAGAGGTATGGGACACCAAGGGAGATGGTTATTCCATTCTTTCCGGCATGTGACCCGGAGCCAAGGATACATGGAAGGGAAAGAGGGGAGGGTTGGTCATTCCATTCTTTCCGGCATGCGACCAGGGGCCGAGGCTACTGGGGCGGGAAAGACGGGAGGGAGGGAGACCCGGGGCTGAGGATACAGCGGAGGGAATGAGGGGAGGGTTGGTCATTCCATTCTTTCCGGCATGCGACCAGGGGCCGAGGCTACTGGGGAGGGAAAGACGGGAGGGAGGGAGACCCGGGGCTCAGGATACATCGGAGGGAAAGAGGGAGGGTTGGTTATTCCATTCTTTCCGGCATGCGACCAGGGGCCGAGGCTACATGGGGAGGGAAAGACGGGAGGGAGGGAAACAGGGGAGGGGAAAGACGGGAGGGAAAGACGGGAGGGAGGGAGACGGTAGGGAGGGAGACATGGTAGGACGATGGCATGAGGACAGCGGCGAGAAGAAAGGGTTACCTCATGCTTTCCACCGCCAGCCGTGCAACTCCAGCTTCCGGGTCTTTCACCGATTCCACGAGAAGCTCCAATGACTGCTTCAACGCTAGATCTTCCTCCGACTGTTCCAAGATCAAACAATCCCCAAGCGAACGGAAAACCTCCGAAACATATCAGCATCTTTATTTCTTTGAAACATATCAGCATCTTTTTATTTGCCCTCTACCTTCTTCAATTTTGATAGGAATCTTCGGTGTTTATCTTCCTCTGCCTCCGACTGTTCCGCGATCAAACAATCTCCAAACGGAAGGAAAAACCTCTGAAATACAAGAGTATCTTTTCCTTTCATACCGGCAAACATATGACCTCTCTACCTTCTTCAATTTTGATAGGATTCGCGGTCTTTTCTTTTACGTACGTTCAGTATTTTTCTTGTTACGCGCCCGAAATTAGCATCACGCCCACGGGCAGGGTCCAAAGGACAACTACAATAATACGATGTACACGGAAAAAAAAAAAAAAAGGGTTTTCCAATTTCGCCCCACATTGCAGATGTAGTAGAAGGTTTTCCACTTTAGGTCCACGACGCCGATATACTACCTTCTTCCCCCGAATACAACGTACGGTCATTATAGCTGACCGTACGTTGTATTCGGGGGAAGGTAGGTTTTCTTCTTAGATCCTCAGAAATCCCCGCTGAGAAAAATGACCCATACTTCGACACTTGATCCTATTTTATTTGACGCCTACAATATATCAACTAACAATTACCACACAGGAAAAGACAAAAAAAAAGGGACACAACCGGATAGGTACCTCCAGCGAATTCCTGTCCAATCCAAACCCACAGCAGTAGAACGGTGACAACCCTCATTATGATGATAGGTGGGAGGTGGTCATCAGTGACTACCAAACTTGAAATGATCAGTTAAACCTATATGATCAGCTGAACCTACCTTCAGAAGTCCTAGTACAAATTTTACAAGTAATTGTCTCTGTTAAAAAAGGATCAGTTATCGTTCTTCATCAATCTCAGGTATATGACCGCTGGATAGGTTGCCGCGATTATGGGCCTCGCTCCACTACACAAAACTATATGCATCTGGAGCTCACAACAGTCCCGATGCATTCCAAATGCTGGACACCTCCAAACGCACCTGGTCCAGAAACGCGTCCAAATGCAAATAAAGTGCTGAGTAGTGGAGCGAGGACCTATATCGAACTCAAAAGTGTGAGAAAGAAAGAAGCAAGGGGGGTTAAGTATTCCAACCCCCCGTTCAATCCGCTATGCAGCCAGCTGTCCTAATCAGCGTCAAAACGGCAACATGAAAAGCACCGCCGCTTTTGGCGGCCTGCTTACAGGCCGAGCCCAGCTTCTTGTACCCGCGCGAGGCCTTGAGACCCCCACGAGCATCCCCCCCACGTACTGATGACGTCAGATTTCTCTGCGCATCACGTGTTGGTTGATGCGACGTGGCACACGCTAACGCAGACCAGTCGTTGAGTTCCTCTCCTAAGTCCAATTCGTCTCGTGTGACATCGTTGCCATAACCGATCTTGCCATCATCGTTGCCATAAATGACTGACACGATTAATCAATCAACTGATTGATTGACACAAATAACAAAGCATCCACATCGATTACAATGGACAGTGATCGATCGAATACCCATATACACGATAATGATGATAACGATGATGGTAAGCATCATGCTCGCGATCAGGGTAATAGCAACAGTAATGATACTAATTAATCCGATAAAACAGTGGCAACAGTGACAATGAGAACGAAGATCATAATAATCACATGATGTCGATATGACGACAATAATAAAGTACCAATACAACGGTCCTTGGCGACATCCGTCAAAATTGGAACCAAAATAACGAGAAAACATTGCGCTTGGCCCTTGCGCCAGGATGAGGCGTACCCAAACAAGTAACTACATACAAATAAATTTAAAAAATAACGACGATGATCATATAATAATACAACCAAGTCGCACCCAAGGGCCCAGCTCAGTGGGTACACCCATGAACTGTCGAAATACAGACCCCAGTTCGAATCCAGCTGATGATGGAACTTGATGATGTGTAAAACCAAATACTAGTATTTCTAAATTGCCTGGGGCCGGTCAGCTCAATGATGATATCTCACGGTCGTCACCCTAAAGGGAAAAAAAATAATAAAAAAATTCGTTATGCTATACTGGGCGTGTAGCATCATCACCACGCTCGTGACCAATCATCGGCAACATTGCCTCGCCAATCAAGTACCACCATTATCAATTCCAAAAATATCAGCACAGTCGTCATCGTCATCCCTACGAACGCCGGTGACAGGCCAGCACACCGATAACAGGTCGAAGAAGATATCTAAAAGGGGTTACAGGTCAGCAGGCAGAGATAACCTGTCAACCAAACGCAAACACCTGACTACGCACGCTTCCGTTATCAGACACTTAACCAGACCGCAAAATTACCCCATAAATCAAAACAATCAAAACAATCAAGCAATCAAACAGTCACGCAATCAAGCAAACAAGCAAATAACTACCTACCGGACCAATCAATTCATCGACTTCATCCCCTGAAGCCGAAAGGTATATTGACATATACATCCACCCACGCACCCCCAGGCGACGGAATACCGTCTTGCGCAAGATGAAAGGCACGTCAATCGAGACTATCCCTGAAGGGCAACCTGCTCTGCATCCTATTCGGGCG